ATGTAATTCGCTAGTGCATAATATATTGTACTTGATTATGCGGTACACACAAACAAACAACGTAGGATTTTTGGTATCCTCATAAGCAATGCAATTTATAGGTACTTTGATTGACTACATAATGTATGTATAATAAAACATATAAAATATTTATATAATACTATGTAATCACATACGGTGTTTGTTATTATTTATTTTACTTTAAAAAAAGATGTTGACATTGGATTCTTTAATGCTATGTGAAATATTTATAATTACATTTGCGAGTTAATGTTTTCATACTTGACTATTTTATTTTTTATTTAATATGAAAATATTTATAAGTTTTATGATTTTTATGAATTTTACTATAACTTGAACTTAATATATGCTTATAAAATAAAATTATGACCAAATATTTTCGATATTTATAATCTGCTAAAGAAATGACTTATGTATAAGAAACTACATGGATTAAATTCACAACATTTTTCGCAAGCATAAACAATTTTCATCAATGAAATGTAGTTAAAAAAGATTACTAAAAAAAAAATATCAAAATTTCAAATACGCTATACAAAATATAAATAGTTTAAGATCTATCTAAGTACTTGAAAATTACATTTAAATTTATGATTTAAGTAGAAGTAGAATGTCTTATATTTATTTGATTAAATATTTTTGAATAATACTAAAATAAAAAAAAAATTATTCAAGGATAACTCTAGGTTATTATATGTTTGGACTTTGAATATTCAACGTTGTAAAAAATATGAACTTCAAACTTTATAAAATTGTATATATAGTTATGAATTTTATAAAAATAACTTATGCGAAGATTTGTGTTCATTTTAAAGTTTTTTGTCGTACTACAAGCAGAAATCTAATTATACATACATCGAAAACAGTTTTAACCCCGAACATTTTGAATAGTTATTGTTATTGTTATTGTTATCCCTATACTGCAATCTAGATCTCATTTTCTAATAGAAAACTTCAATCTATATTGTCTTTTTTCCGTTATAAAAAACATGCTTTTAGACTTCTACAAAAAAAAAAAAACACACACACATGCGCGCGCGCGCGCGCTCGCATTATTGTTATACCAGTCAATCAGCTATAAATTAGTAATTACATATAAAAAATTGCATACACAGTTTTGTCTTTTTACACAATTTATTATAAACTTGCGTAATAAATAAAAAAGGTGTATATTAAGGTTTTTTTTCAAATTAAATATATTTCATCCCTATTATAGCTTTCTATATTTTTAACTGTTACAGTCGAGTAGTAAGCTCTCAGTTGTAACTTTCGCCGAGGTACACTAAGATAATATTGTTAAATTATAGCGCATGCACTCATAACATTAGACTAATTGATTATATAATTATTTTAATTTGTGAGATTGAATTTCCGAATGTTTTGGTCATTCACACCTTTCGAATCGGACCGTAAAAAACGACAAAGACGGATAGGTAATCAAAATTTTTTTTTCTATTTTGCTTTACAATCGTCTTGTATATTCCATGAAATTATTTCTTTGGTCATTGTGCCATACTATACTATTATTTTATATTGTCTACTATATGTTTAACATTTTAATAAACCTTATAACTTATAGTTGTTCGTCTAACAAAAATGTTTTCATCGATTTCATCAACGTTCGACGAGATGAAATTAACAACCGCGATAACTTATTGAACTCTGGTCATCTCTCGTGATTATTTCATATTATTTTATATTTTATATAGCTCAGTATTATATTATTATATATGATAATATATTTATAGTAATTATTATATCGTTATAATATGCTATTATTATTTATTGATATCCATATTATTTTATTTTTTCTCGTTGTCGTTGTTGTTGTTCTTTTTCAACAAACGTTTGTTGTATGCACGTGATCGATACCATACTTAAAATAATATATTCAATTTTATTATTTAGTCCTATGTATTCTACTAAAATTGAGTGCGTGCAGCTCAATTACAATGCGACAACCAAAACCATCATGTAAAAATAGTAAAATATTATTATTTTTATTATTATCGCAGTATACGTTTAAAATACACGATACGGAGTTACTATTTTAAATAATTAAATTATACGCTAAGAGATAATAACATTAAAATGATGAATGGTATTAATGTGCTTCTACGGCTTAAATATCATTATAATATATTATTCAAATGCTTAGATGTTTAGATACGAAATATTACTACTGAACTCCGATGGCGACGTTTAGTTACGCCATACAATAAAATAAACGCTTTCGAAATCCAAAAAATGTATTGCCAGCCGCTTTGTAGACCTACCTACGAATTAAATGTCCCTATCGTAATAAATTTAAACAAATAATAAATACCATATGTAATTTAAACAACTATAACAAACGATACCATACGAATGTATAAATGTTCGTAGGTCTACTAAAAATTATTTTAAGATTGGTTTTAATTTTAAGTTTTGTTCAATTTAAAAATTATTAAAAATCAAAAATATGCTGATAGACAGACACCATATCTGTCCTAGTCGCACATGTAGCAGTGATAAATTATGACAAAACTAATTCCATCATTAATAGTCGTTATATTATTATAAACTAAAAAGAACAGAAATTCATTGCGCAAAATTGATGTAAAAGTGTATTGAACAAAATAATATTTATTTTCTCTGATCGAATAAAAATCGTTTACAAACAATATGACCATAAAAAAAAAGAATATATTATGTTTATATTTCAGTGTGATTTATAAGCATTTCCATAATATACACCCATACTTACTTTTATTTTTATATATAGATAAAATAAAATAATTAAAAATTATATTGTAAATTAAACAACTAGCTCGCATTTGAGTGGAAAGGTCTGAGGATTTTAAGCGGATTAGGTAAAATTAGTACACTATTCATATTACATTTGTTTAAATACATTATAGATAAACAATATAAGAGCAATGTAAATTATTTATATTAATTATTGTTATGATTTTTTTAGTACAAAATATGATCAAATGTCAAATTTCAGAAAACTCATTTGACCGTGATGTAGATTTTTTATCGGGAGATAAATATAAATAACATTATAAATTATGTAATATAATGATGTACCAAAATATTTACGTGGTAAATTATGTGATAAAATCTAGTGTACCTATACCAATGTCTTACTTTTGTCTAAATTAAAACTTAATCGTGTATATAGGTACACTTTTCTATTAATATGCTGTTAACATAATTACTAATTAACTTGTGTATTGAATGTATTGAACCATACCAATACTTAACCTAACCTATCATAGTTAACTGATTAATAAATTAATTTTTTTCACAGAAATGTTACATTGTTACTAGCATGTTGTATATTATATATGCGTGTGTGTGTCAAACTTACGATTTATTTCTAACAATTTCGACCACTAAAGAATATGTTTAATACATTATAATTTATAGGAATGTAAAGAATTAAATAAATGCAAGAAAATAATTGGATTATACTATAAAATATTATATTTTAAATTAACTTGTATTATACGTTGAATACATCTTAAAAAATAATATATTATTTATTAATAATCATACTTGAATTATTACAAGAAATTAAAATATATTTAAGAGAAAAATACTAAAAAATTAAAATTAAACACATATGTTATGCTAACTGTTATTTTTTTAAACAAACATATACGAAGACAAAATATAAAAATTTTATATCGTTTTAAGTGCAATTTATAAAAATGGAGGAGCTCATCTATTAATTATACCTTGAAAGTTAATAATAACATAATCGTATATCATAAGTTACATTTGATTGAAAATGTTATTTAAATAAGACCAAAACATGATTAAACTTAATAATAGTAGTTATGTAATAATAATAAGAAATAAAAATATTGTATTTTTCATTTAAGTAAATTGAAGTTAATATAATAAAAAAAAAAAAAAAAAAATGAAATAAGTTAGTGTAATTATATAAAACAAATTTATAAATTATATTTTAATTTACCTTTTACATATTCTTTAGAACTATGTGAAGAAAAAAACCATTTATTTTGAACTCGTGATAACTATAAGGGAAATTATATTTACCATCAATTTTAATATTACATAAACTATAGTAATTAAAAATCTTAGTATAAATTATATATATAGCAGAATCCACTTAATAGGGACACATAGGGCGGTGATCTATTTGTCTCTATTATCTGACTGTCCCAATAAATCGATTTTTTTTTAAAAACTTAAAAAACTATTAAAGTATACCTATGCATAATAACTTTATTTACGAAATTTACTCTAATTTAAATGTGTCTATTAATTTATCTAACTCATGGACACTAGAGTATTTTGAGGTTGAGCTTTTATTTTATCCAATGCAAAATTTTTTTCAATCAACGTTAAGTTTTTAGTAGACATTGTTGCTACATATGTTACACAAACTGGGATTAATAAAAACAAAACCTACGTACAGATCCAAAAAATCGATTAAGTAATTTTGTACGAAGACTAGTCGACTCATTATCAATGATTAAAAAAAGTAAAATACGTAGGTAATTTATTGTTATTGTTCATAAAATATGATTATTATATAAAATGTGATACTGTGATAGAGACATAGAAATTAGATAATTACAGTTTCTAAAAGAAATTAGGTATGTATAGCTTATTATACGTCCCTTATAACTGATGGTTTGTCTTCAATAAACGAATTTATATTGCCTAAAACAAATACATTTGTTCAGGACTCAGACGATTTGTCCCCATTAAGCGGTTGTCCCCTTTATGCGGTATCCCCATTAAGTGGATTCTACTGTAATTGTTTATAATATATTTTAGTACCTATACCTAAAGGTTAAAATTTTATAACAAAAAATTTTACTTGTATATTCTTAATTGTAATCTTTATATATAATAAATAATATAAAATAAGAAAATAAATTTAAAAAAGCCAGTGATCTCGTTTGGATCAATAAAATTTTACCTTTATACTACCTACATCGAATATCTACGATGATTTATTACAAGTATGTAAAGGTTTGCTGTTCCCTGATTTCCGGTTGATAAGCAAAATTAGTATTATTGCCCACGTTGCGGGGGTTATAGCCCCAAATGTTATTGTTGGCGTTGATGTACTGCTGCAATTGCTGTTGTCCGGTCAAATTGTTCGCGTATTCCAATGTTGGTTGCACAAGATGTACTTCGCCATGGGCCATAGACGTGGTCGCAGCATTTTGCAATGGCATCGCCATAGCGTAGTTGCAGTTGACGTTACCGTGAATGGGATGCTGTACATTCGGGTATGGGTATTGCGGCGGAAGTAACGGTGACTGTACCTGCACCTGTTCCTGATCTGCGTTCGGAGTGGAATACGGTGAACAATTATTGTTATTGATATTATTATTGTCATTATCATTGCAATTTTTCGTCTCCTGTTCTTCGACAAACACTCTCTGCAATTTATTTCGAATCGCCATATTTCTGTTTTTCGGTACTTCGCGCAAGGACGGCAACAGACTCATTAAGAAGTAGTAATTGTCATCGTTACTGTTATTATGGTCATTGGTTTTGGCGTTCGGAATTACTTGTTTACACTCATTCTCAAAGCTCGAATGCTCCTCGGGCACGATTTGTCTCTTCTTGGCGGGAAGTCGGCGGTTATCGCTTCCACTGAATTTCGCGCTATGCACATTTGTTGAATTTATGATCGAATTGATATTATCGTTCTCTGATAAATCGCATACCTCATTTTTAGTCACAACCTGATTCATTTTTTGTGTATCGATTTTGGAATCTTTTATAATAGATATAATTATCGATCAAAATCTTAACAATTCTGTGAAATTATTAACTGCATGTATTATATCTTTGAACTCTGTTCTTTTTTGTTAATGAATCTTTTGTTATTGTCGATTTTTTTTTTAACAGCACCTTAATATAAAAAAAAAATATATTAACTTACTTAAAAATATACACTTTTAATATTTACGCAATTTGAATAAATAGATATAGAATGTAAATTAAAATTAAAAAATATATTTATACGGAGTGATTCATTTAATGTAACATACTCATTATTTTAGAAATTCCTAACGTTTTTGAAAATCTATATTTTAAATCATTTGAAGTCATTAAATAATAATTAACTTGACACAGTCCGATTATTATAAACCATAATTTACCAAAAACGTTTCAAAATGTTTTGAAAGAAGGAATTAAAAAATTAAAAATACAACGATAACAAACAGTAAAAATTTATTTTTTTAGAAAATTGTTTGATTTTTATAACTTAATATGATACAACGAAAATATTTAAAAAAGTTTTTAATATTTTTTTTAAAATAATTACTATTAAGTTTTCTTATAGTTAACTCTATGGATAAAATACATTTCGAAAAGAAGTGAACCGATCTGATTTTTGATTGTTGTATTTAGTCAATAATTACCAATACGTATAATCACACAGTATTTAGTTAAAAATTATAGAGACTTGCGTGTCAACTTAGGTATTGTAAACTTACAATGCTGATTTTATGAATTTCAGAAATTATTATGTATGCTAAGTTTTGGTAATAAATTTTGAAAATAATCTCTGATTTTATAAAAACAGTTCCTTTTTCTTTTAATAAAATATTTAAAATAAAAAGATAAAATATCAAAAAATTTTGAATTGTAAAATGTTATTAGGGCAATCTCGTATTATAGTTTTATGTTTTAATAATAATATTATTTTAAATTCGATAACAATAAAATGAAAGAAAATAACAATTCTGTATTTATTTTAACATAAAAATAAACAAGATCTTTTAAATGAAAGGTTATAATACATATATAATAAATATTTTATTCTTATAATAGTTATAATGTATTAAAATAATTAAATATTAGCAATTGGTAAAAATATGCAATCTCCATGATAAATAATTAAAACCAATTTTCTTAAAAATTTGTTGCCATAAATGTGAGCATTTTAAGTTTTTCTATGCCTTTTTGAGTATATTCATAAAAAATAATATAATAATTTTCTCTCTAAATAAACCAACCGCCATTACTGGATACAATTTCTATTCAGTGCAGATAACATGAAAACCATTTTACTTGAATAATGGTCACACACATTAACAGAAAAAAAACATATGTAAAATCAGTATAATACATTCTACATTTAACTCAAATTTAAAAAAAAACGTTATCTAATGTTAACATATTTGTATTACCCAATAAATATTTATTAATTTTATATTCTGAGGCCTAAACTGTGACTTTTGGTATTGATTCGTTTAAGATGTTATTTTTTTATTTTATTGTTTGCATAATAAAACACTTTTAAATTTTTTCGAATAAATTATAAGAACAATGGCTTCTTATTTTCTAATAAAAAAAGCATCACATTATTTTTTGAATTATTACTATAATATCGATGGACTAAAAGTTTGAAAACAATTCGTCAGCACAGTTCAGTTAATTTTATTTAATATTATTTATAAAATTTTCATTCAATTTTATTATCAAAAAACTTTCGATTCACATTATTAAAAATTGAAATATAGTAGTAATTCAAAATAAGCCATAGGTATAATACTATTTTAATATTGATGAAAACAATTAAATTTATTGTGAATGTAGAGTGACAGTGAGGCTCAAAATTATCCTCTTAGTTGACTTATATGAATAATTATTAAAGTTTTAAGTAGGTAGATACAACATCCAATTAAACGAAAATGAAGCGATAGGTCAAAATATTTCAAACAAAGGCATTCCCTTTCGCAATCATACCGGACTGGTCAAAAAAAATTATGTAATAATTATAAATTAAGGAAGTACTAAATTGGCATATATATATCAGATAATATGTAAAAAAAATAAAGCGTTATTTTATGTATTTAGAGGTTTTATAAAAACTAAAATAACTAATAGGCACAGTTGTTGAAGTTGTGTATTACGATCAATAAAAAAATGTATATAATACTATTATTTATTACTATATCCAACGGAGAGGTACAATAAAAGCATAATATTATAATGCATTATAACATATACCGTAATACAAAATGTTTACATTAAGAAAATATTATCTTATATTTAGAGCCTATAGATATTATTATTTTATGAAATTTAATTTTTGAATAATTTATAAAAAGGTCAAACAGCAATCATGTTCACATATATGTGCATACATTATAATATAATTTTCACTTTACATATACTATGATTTGTTATGTAGGAATGAAACTTACCACTTATACAACACTCGTACTTGAATATTTTGATTTATTAGCGATAAAAATGAATCCAAATCCTGCAAAAATGTTAAATTTATCGCCACGGGGCTACACTAAGTTACTATGCGGAACTATAACGAACAATACGTGTGACAATTACATAGGACAGATAACTACTGAATTTGACTGTACAAGTTTTGAGTCTGAATGGTTCTAAGGGTTTCGCTAATATGACAATTAGATGAGAAGAAATCAATTAGGCCGTAAAAGAAACCACCTTTTAATAGCTTGTCGTTAACATATTTGTAGGTAGGTATTCTATACACGTTTCATTCTGGTATTAAATTGTATCGATAACTTTTATTCGATGGATATTTCTTTTATAATATTTTTGTTTTCAATTAACTAACTACATCAATATAAATGTAGGTATTTACTATAGCTAGTTATAAAAGATATTCGACGTTTTTCGTTTACTTCCTGTTTATTATTCCCATCAATTCGACACTTCAACAATAATATTGTACGATTTGATTTGTTTTCCATAATATAATATCTTGCGGTATTTTATATTCTCATTAGAGTGAACTTGGACATCTCTTTATCGCTGCATCTCTTTCGCGCACATTCAAAATTGTTTACCTAAAAATCGATCACTTGCTTGCGCACAACGACATGTTCACACACTTGTATAAATTGTCACAAACAGCAGTACACAATATCAAATATTTAAAAAATCTTGTAATCGATTGTGTAAATTAAATCATTTCGGATTTTCCGTACATAACTACTTTTAGTACAGTTTAAGTGGTTATGGTTCAGTATAAAGGTGATTACTAGTCATCACTTACTAGCGTGTTGTCGACATAAACTTTTTAATATGGAAGTAGAAATTTCTAATATTTTTGAAACTCGGCAAGAAAGTTAGAAGGAAAATGTGTGCGCAAACGAGATCTAATACTAGAGATTTTTGTCACAGGTAGCCAAAATTGATATGCGCAATCGAGTTTTAAAAAAGGTAAATGTGCGCAAACGAGTTGTAGCTCTCTTTGTAATAGGACCATTATTTATTCTAAACTTGTTAAGTGGACGTCTTGAAATTTAATTATTAGCATCGCCGATAATTATTTATTTGTAAATGGTAATAATTGATGTTTTTAGTCCATTATTTACCTAAAACCTATTAATTTACCCCTACCGTTTGCTCGCATAATATTATTGGGGTGTTTAGATGTCCACCAAATTTTTATTCAAAATTTTTGGGTTTTACACCTCTTATACTTTGATTTCTTTACAGATTCAATGTTTTAAGTTCTATATGTTTTTACTTTTTAGGTCAAAAACGGTTGACGTATATGTCGTATATTCAGGATGGTGGGGTATTTAATTAGTCAGTTACATTTAACATTATTGTAAGTTTGTGAAATATTATCACATTGAACTTTGTTTTTCTGTCGTTTAATTTTTAACTCTATGCGTTGGCCACGTGTAGGTACCTAGAATTAAATATGATAATACCGTGCCGAACGGTGTATCGAGTACTTATTATAATATATAATATTACTAATAAATCACAATCACTAGATAAGGGTTTAGAAGTTAATGTTAGAATTTATTTATTGTATTCAGTAAATCAAGTAAATGCTTAAAAGCATTATTTTACTCAGTCTTTTATTAAAATCGTTTTGTATAATCTATGATAAGTTAAAATTGATTGATTAACAATAAAAATATAATTTTAGTTTTACTTATAAGTTATAACTAAAAATTGAAATATATTATGCAGTAGTTGTAAATGCAATAATAATACATTTATATAAATGAATATGTATCTATAATAATAATTCGTTTTCTAAAATTATGTATATACTTATTTTTCGTTTACAAATAATTTAAATGAATAGGTATCAATAATTTATTTTAGTAATGTATATAATTATAATTTTCAAACAATATACATTAAATGATTTAATTTAATATGTAGGTAACTTGTAATTTTTAATTTTTAATTATTTATAGTTCTGCGTTTACTGTCATAATCCATAGATAGGTACATCCTAAATAATTATAGGTACATAACGTTTTAATAAAAGTCTAAATAAATTAAAATTGCATACTTTTCAAATTTTACTTTAATTAGTAAAATATAACCTTGCCTATGATAGTTATGATAGTGATAGCTTACTATAATATATAAATATAAATTCAGTATAATATAGATTCGGTAAACGTCTGTGTATAATAGAATCCACCTAAATATATATGTATCGTTTCGGCGCCACTGAGACGCGCGGTTGGGTAGAATATCTTTGTGGGTATATTTAACAGGTTAGGTTAGGTTTTATACCCACTATTTTTATTATAAACATAATAACGACTGTCGGCAATGGCAGGTGTTCGTGATTATTATCGTTTTTGGACTGAAATATAATGTACACAATACTACTACAGGGGTATTATGAGAAATACTTTATACAATATGTATATCTTCAACAATAGTGTTGGTATTTTTTTTCTTCTTTCGTTTATTGAGTATGGGTGTGAGGCCG